GCATATACACTTAATGAAAACACCTATATAAATGTGGAGTGGGGTAGATCCTATGAGATCGTGGCAAAATCTCTAGAGCATTTGTTAAAACTAGGTACGCGCATGGCCGATAACAAGCAAAATTATCGTTAGCAGTAGAGATTATGGGGGTATAATCCAATTAATAAGACCTCTAGTACGCCCTCAAGATCTATTGATTCAATAACAAAGTTACACCAACTTTTTTGTGTACTAAGTTTTATTAGTCTAGGTTTGGTTCAAGTCGACAAACACCAAATACGAAGTGATTATCCTCTGTGTGAATAACTCAGATGAACATAGATCCTTTTGACATATGTAGGGGATTGTTGTGTGTGTGTCAAAAGTGTGTGTGTGTGTGTATGTCAAAAGTCCTACATTGACTAAATGAAGGACTCTCCTAGTGTATAAATACTAAGGAATGAAGTAGGCTAGTAAAATAGGCTTGGAGAAGAAATGGGCTCGCGCACATGAGACAGGCCAACTCAGGGCAATTGTAGTTGAAATCAGCTGATTTGCCCCCCCTGCGTGTAAGTTCAAAAGGCAATGGGTTCCTTTTACTATATTGTTTTTACAAAATAATTAAATAAATAATCATTTTTAGCTTACCCAAAAAAACATTAAATTTTGCTGTTTACATTTGAATTTGAAGCCTTGGCAATTTTTTTGGCATTAAACTACTTTTGAAAACTGATTTTGTGAGTTAATGTCTTAAACGTATTTGTCTACCAACGTTTCCAAACAAAAGCTTAAATGTGTTTTACATCTGCATAATCCCTCAGATGGGTGTTTAAACGTGATTTATGAGAGTGTAACCAAAACTTTAATCCGGTGATTATGAGCCAACATTCATGTCTCCATCTTCAAGCTATATATAGCCATAGGTGCAGACAAAGCAACTTGCCAGCCGCCTGAGTTTTCGGGGCAATTCTCTCCTCCTTCTAGCTTCTGCTACTTTGTTCATCTGAGATCATTTTTGGTTTCTGTTGTTCTGATTCCTTACTCCACAGGAAGTGTTTGTTTAATCTTGGGAACTGCCAGTCCGTCATCCCGGTATGCCGGAATAGTTCTTAAGGACAGTGTCTTTCCGGGCACAACTCAAGCAGCTCGTCGTTCGTCGTTTGCGTCTACACTGCTGGTGCTACCGACAATCTTTAACAATAATTTATTTTATTTATATATTCACATTGTGTGAATTAATTGAATAGCCTCTATTTACAAGTTTATCTGTCATGGAAAAGGAACTCAAAGATGGACATGATAATTATATTTTACCAATCATACAGAAAAATAAGCTAAGTGACATAAACTATATACATTAAATCTCCATCACATAATAGTTGTTAAATATCTGATAAAAGAACAGATACTTCACTTTTTTTAAAAAAATAATAATACAAACTTGCAAACTTGGGGGCTGATATATTCTATATACCTTTGAGATAATACTCTTTTTTAAAATTTTGTATTTATATATAAATAGAGGAATATGCAAAGCTAAGACAACACCACTTCATTCACTAAAGGTGATTTCGACCACACTCGCAATTATAAATATACGTGGCATTAACTTTAATTTACTTTTTCAATTATGGGACGAATTTCCCTCATTCTTCAAGCCAAATATAATAGATTAATTAAAAATTAAGAATTTATTAAAGTAAATGCTCAATAAGCTAGCTTGAGACCACAATAAGTAAGTTAAATTTATAATTTTCTGGGTCCTTTATATATAAAGGATTTTAATTAATTAAGGTAGTGTAAGTGAGTGGAGGTATAAAGGCAAGGTATGTTATATCTATTTAATGGAATCATATTGGGATGAAGAAGACTGAACTATCGATGAAGGTATAGATTACCTTTCAGTCCATTTATTTCCATTTTCAATGCATATTCCTTATATGGGATTTCCTTGGCCGCCCTGTAATTCATATAATTGAAGAGAGATGGAGTTTAGGCAAAGTCATAAACACTTCATCTCTATTCTTAACTCATCACTATCTATATATAGTACTTAAAAAAACAGTGAATTACTGATGAAAATAATTTAGTGATGAAATTTATCTAAATGGAAATTTTGGTCACTAATTTACTCTTTTTTTGTAATGTATATATAATATATGTTTAGTTTGAATAATCATAACACCATTTATAAAAATGTTTTTGGTGTATGTTATTTGCTTTTTTTCTTGTTTTTGTTGTAAATAGATAAATATACGTGAATTTTATTTTATTTTCTTTTCAGTACCAATTGGTTCCTAAAAATTATTGGAAAAATATAAATATTATTTCCTTTATACTTTTAGCGTGTTTTAATAATAGTCCTTATATTATTTTTTTATTGCTCCAAATCGTTTAAGTTTTATTTGTTTGCAATGTTAGCCATTATCTTCACTAGCAAAATTAAATTTGTTGATGTGCACATAACTTTATTTGGTAAAATTATGATATGTTGGACATTATATTAGCAAAATAGCCATTAACCATTTTTCTTGTTTTCCCTAACTGTTTTGTTTTCTTCTTCTTCTTGAAGCTTTATTCATTGCACGTTTAAGAATAATTTTGATTTAAATGTCTTGCTTTTTTGTTTTGCATTCTACTCATTTTTTATACAATTAATTATTATAATTTTAACTAGTCAATACAAGAAGTAATATAATTTAGGGTTAATAAGTAAATAGAACTCTGAACTCTTGCTCAAAAATCATCTAAGATCTTAAACTCTTAAAATATACAAAATAAACCTTAAAATTTTAAATTAGTGAAAAAATAAACTCTAACTGTTAATTTTTTAATGCCATTACTGTTCACACAAGTATTGTTCACCATAGGCCCCAGTTAATGCTAACGTGTCATTTTAAATTAACGTCACAGACCCTAAACTATTATATTAGTAGCTTTTTAAACCTTGAACTATTATGTTAGTGGCATTTTAAATCTTAAACTTTAAAATTTTGAGCAAATTACCTCTACTGTTTATGTATAAAATGTTGACTATTATGTAGATTAAATTACCCTCAACATGGTTTCGCCACGGTGAATGTATTATTGGCTGTGGCGAACAATCTATAATTTTATGAAATCACATTTTTTGCCCCTTTTTTTGTAATATTTTTCAAACGATTAATATCTCATATTTTCGTATACTCTATAACTCTAATTTAATCTTATTTTAAATAATGTTTATTTATTTAATGGTGAAAATTTGGGATACTATTTGAAAAGAAGTTTAAGTATAGTAGGATTTTACACATAATGGATGCGAAAGTTGATAATTTCATCAACGAATTTAAAGCTCAAATTAATTGATTAATTAAAATTGTCTAATATTTAAAAGTCTTTTCAAATAGGATCTCAAGTTTTCACCATTAAATAAATAAATATTATTTAAAATAAGTCTCAATTAGAGTTATAGAGTATACGATAGCAATAAATACTTATCGCTTGAAAAACATTGCAAAAAAAGAGGTAAAAAATATCATTTTACAAAATTATAGGTCATTTGTCACGACCAATGATGCATTGACCGTGGTGAACTATGTTGAGGCTAATTTAGTCTTCATAACAGTCAATGTTCTATATATAAATGGTGAGAGTAATTTGCTCAAAATTTCAAAATTCGGGATCCATAACGCTATTAACATAATAGTTCAGGGTTCAAAATGTTATAATTCAAAATGACAAATCAACATTAACGGGGCCTATGGTGAATAGTATCAGTATAAATAGTAATGACGTTAAAAAAGTTAACAGTTAGAGTTTATTTTACTACTAATTTAAAAGTTTAAGATTTACTCTGCACATTTTAAGAGTTTAAGGTCTTAGGCGATTTTTGAGCAAGCGTTTAGGGTCGTATTTACTCATTAACCCTATAATTCATGTACACATTAGCCACAATTAATTGTTATCATATTTTAAAATATAGAAATTAATGTTGTAGACAGATAAAAAAAACTTCAGGGACTTGGAGTAATAAAAAAATATAAAAACTAATACCAAAATATGCTAAAAATATAAGAACCAATAATTATATTTTCTCAACATTATATTAGGTCTCAACTATTAATTCGATAGATTGAATCATATCCACATATATATATATATATATATATGAGTCAAGATTTTAAATGAAAAATCTTTGACAATAACATCTATATTATTTAATGAAATCTCACACTACAAGTCAACAACTAAATCTTTTTTTTTTCAAAAATAATATATAAAAAAAATGAAGATTTGAGGATACTGAATATAAAGAATCTTAAAATTATATGTGATGATGGGTGGGAAATGATGAATTGTTGCTTTTGCTGCAATACTAGAAAACACAAACACGAACCAAGTAATGTAATCTGGGAATCACTTTGAGCTATAAAATTGATATATATAACGGCGCCAAAAGCTTATACAGAGAAAACAAACAGGAATTTAACAATAACCCTATATGGATTCCACAAACAACAAGAGCAAAAATTTAATCCATAAAAGGATGTATTTTTGATATTTTTCTTTAAAAAATCATAAAAAAATACATATTTTTATCATTTTGAGATATCAAGATATCCAAATGTCTCTTATTATATGTAGAAGTTAATAATTCAAAAAGAATAAAAAAATAAAATTGGAATATTGGGGCATTACAAGGAGCATTAGAGAAGGGCACATTAGAGACCCCTAGCTCGAAACTCAGGATTAGGAGCCTCTAATGTGCCCTTCTTTAATGTCTCTTGTAATGCTCTAATGTTCCAATTTCGTTTTCATTTTTTTTTGGATCATTAATTTCTACATAAAATAAGAGACATTTAAATATCTTAATGTCCCAAAATGATAAAAATTTATATTTTTTATAATTTTTCAAAATTAAAAAGATGTATTTGTGATATTTTTCTTTTAAAAATCAAAAAAATACAAATTTTTACTATTTTAGAATATCAAGATATCCAAATGTCTCTTATTATATGTAGAAGTCAATGATAAAAAAATGAAAAATAAAATTGAGATATTAGAATATTATAAAAAATATTAGAGAAGGACACATTAGACCTTAATCCTGAAACTCATGCCATATGTATATAAATATATATATATATATATATATATATTTTTATCCGCATCATCGGAAGCATGTGTCAATGGTGATGAGTTAGTGACCTTTCTCTACATTCTCTGGACCTCCCACCACTCTAATGAGTTGCGGTGGCCATCGCCACCAGAGAAGGTGGCGGCGGCATATTCATCACCGTCTTGGACGGCACCGCTGCCGGAACATTATGGCTTTCCTCGTACAAGAACTTATGAATGATTCTTCGGCTCTTCTTCACCACTTGATTCTCCCACACCTCCATTGATTCCTCTCCGTTACTTTTTTTGATGAACACCTCCGTCGCATCAAGCCGATGCATATTCCTCTTCCACAAGCCGTGAAGCCTATGAATCTTCTGCAGCTGACGGCTCGCCAGCCGACAGTTGTTTATCCTCATCCTAGAAATGGCGGCTTCTAGAAGCCTCTTCTTCGTCTTCTCGTCCGCCGTCGCCTCCGCCTCTGCTCTCAGAAACTCGTCCAACTCTGGAAGCCCGATTGCTTTTCTAATCCCTTTTGTGTAATCAGTAGCCAGAGGGTTAAACATTAGCCGGACCTCGTCAACCAGACCGGCGTCTACCATCCGATCAACCCGGTCCGACAGGAAGGAGTGGAGAACCGGGATTGACACGTCGACCCAGAGGAAGCAACACTGGTACCTGTTTTGGTGGTGGTTCACTAAGGCTTCTATGTAGGAGTTGGAGCCACCGGCGATGATGGGAAGGCAATGTCTATCGACGATGGAATCAACGGCGGAGGAGGCTTGGGCGATGAAGTCAGCGGCGGTGAAGTCGTGGTTGGGATCTGCTATGCTAAGCAGATGGTGAGGAACACCAAGACACTCCTGTTCGGTGACCTTGTTGGTGGTAATATCGAGACCTTGATAAAGTTGCATTTTGTCGGAGTTGACGATTTCCGCCGGAGCGAAGTGAGTGGCTAGGTCTATGGCAAGCTTGGACTTGCCGGAGCCGGTGGCGCCCATGATGACAACCACCTTGGCCTTACGGTGGTGGTGGAAGAAAGGGTCCACACTCAGTCCTCCTTGGAAATTCACAGAAGCTTGTACTTTGCAAACTGATGCCGAAATGATATTCATCGTCGTCAACAAATCAAAATTGAACCTGCAACGACACCATACAAAAGTTGGCTTTGAGAAACAGTTTTGAATTTGAATTATGGTAGAAGTGAATGAGAATTAAGCATATTTTAGGATGATGATGATGATACCTTGGCTTTAATCTGTGAGAAGAGAATTAAGGTAGAGAATTGTGAGGAGTGGGAACATTCTCGGTGGTTTCGGGGCTATTTATGCAATCTTGTTTTTTTTTTTTTTTTTTACCAAAATTTATGCAATGTTGTTTAAAGAAATTAAACAAGGTCACTGCCACGTGTACATAGATATATTAAATATTTAAATTGCATATGTAGATGGGAGCTTATGAAATGGCTTGTGTGGGGCCCAGTTCCAGGGTTGCTTGTGTGAATGAAAACCCTCACTTTTGTTCTCTTCATCCGTAGTGTTCATGTCCCAAAATCGGTGTTCTCTTCCTTCAATATATTACCTGGTTTCTAATTAAAGGTGTAGTCCATAAATCCAACCGTTATAAGTTTCTTAATTTTTTTTCATTATCAATTTAGTTTCCCATCAACTTTAATGTTATTGATCAATTTAATTCATATTTTCTTCGTTTAAAAATGTAAGATATTTTTTAATGTGTTTAATATTAAAAAATATAAGATATTTTTTTTTCAAGATATAATTATTGCCTTTTTCTCAAAAGTACCCCTATTGATAATGGTTTTATATTTATTATAGGGTATTTAATAAGGATAAATATGAAAAGATATGGTTAGTTTGAAAGTAGGTAACTAATTTATTGGGGGTGAGATTTGGTTAAAAATGTCTTATATTTTTTAAAAAAAGAATAGTTTTTTTAGCTATTACATATGTTAGAGTTATTTTAGGTTTTGAAATATACAAATTGACCCTCAAATTACAATGATGTGAAAAATATTTACTTTGCTGACTTGGTATGTATATGTGGCTAAATGAAAACAAATTAAATCTATTTTTTTATATTCTTCTCATTTTATTTTTTTCTTATTTTTATTGTTCTTCTAAGTCTTCACTTATTTTTTTATACATTACATTATGAACAAAATTCTAAGTTTGCTTCCTTCGTTTTCTGCTTAAATAATTACACCTTTTTCATTAATTTACATTGTTGTCAACTCAATATTTTATTATTCAAATTACTAGATTTTAACAATATTAGTTTTTAAACAATAATAACCAACTCGATAAAAAATAAGCATGAGAGACTAAATCGATGATTGAAGTAAATCTAAGAGTTTAAAAGTTTTACTATCCCTTGTTAAATTAACTAAAATTAATAAAAAAAATTATATCTAAATTTCTTTTCTTTCTTTCCAAAATATAACTCTTAATTAATAATAAGAATTGGGAAAATCACTTACTAGAGATTGGGTAAAAAAACCATTGATCAGGTATATATTTAGAAAGATTTTACTACTTGCCCCAATCCTAAGAAAATTGGTTAAGATAGTTACTTTCCATTACTGTGTAAAAAATGTGTCATTTTTTAATCCTTCTTTTAATGAGGGTATGTTGAATGTGAGAGATAAAAATAGTGCAAAAAAAAAAACCATGAAATTAGTCAGTGTAATTTGGAGAAAATGTTAAATGAATGAGACAGACAAAATTAAGGTCCTATGTTTAAGATGAAAACAAAATCCTCAATTAGATCTTATATTTAAAACTAGAGGAAGCATAATATATATTTTCTAGAATTTCAAAAAGAGAATTATAAAAAGAAAAAATTACAGTTAGGTCCCACATAAAAAAATTAATTACTGCAAGGTTCTCAATGCAATTTAGTTCAATTGTCAATAAATCTTATAGTAATTAATTTCTTTATGTGGGACTTCAATGAAATTATTCCTAATAAAAACAGTTACAGTAAAAAAATGGCACTATATATGAAAACAGCTGGAGAGAGTACATCAACATTATAGTGTCCCACCTCCCTTTAAAGAAAAACATGTTTTGAAAAACCATATTGGAGATTAATGGGTTGCCATTATGTTTGTTTAGCATGTATTTTAAATAATCAATGAAATATTGAATCTAATTAATTTGAAGCTGGGTTAATTTAATTATATTGTTATATATATATATATATATATATTAAGATATAGTTGTATTGTACGTAATGAAGAGAAGTTAAGAAATTGGCCTAAGTTGAGTTAAAGAGTAAGGATTAGTGATGATGACTTAAAAAGCTTCCACGTGTGGAGCTATAGTACACTGTCATGTCTTGGGATGCATGTAAGAGTAGGTCAACGGCAATGGCAAGTCAACCTGCCTCGTTTCTTTTATTTGCTAAGAATTAATTAATATCAATGCAAAACCAAAGAAAGTGACACTAATCAAGTATTGGTTCCTTGGATCTGTCCGGCAGATCATAAATATATTATTTCTACTGAATCTCATTCTAACAATTAGTTTATATCTTTCAATATTAATATTATTTTTTTATATTTATTTTTATTTAATGAAGCATTTCACTTAAAATTAAATATAAAATAATTTATTTATTAAGAGTATATTTAAAAAAACACCTTAATCATATATTGAAATACTAAAAATACTTTACATTTTTTAATATTCAATTCCTAAAAAATATTTTGTATTTTTAACAGAAGGAGTGTACATAGAACATATACTACATGTTAGGATAAAATTATAGATATATATATATATATACATACACACACATTTGCACCCAAAAAAAGGTATATATATTGACTTTTTTCTAAAAAAATTCCATATTTATATGTTTTTTTTATCTTTTAGATTGATTATACTTCAAAAAAAAATTTTTGCTTCATATGGAAATAATTTTCGGTGAAAAATGACAAACCAAACTCCCACAAAAAAATAGTAACAACTACTTAGGACGGAGACAAATTTAAGGACTTTAATTTCATTTTAATTTAGTGGAAATTTTAATGTGTGCTGCTATTATATTTTGATTTTAAATAAATTAATAAGTTTTCATGGTTCATTTTTTAAAATATGTTGCCACCATGAAAATAACAATAATAAACTCATCAACTACGTTATAAATAGTTCAATGATATATGTGCACGCACATCTCTTAGCTAGGCAAAGCAATGTACATAGCAAGTCACATTTATCAGTTATGATGAATATAATAAACAACTCATTTTTAGAATTCCATGTAATGCACAGGAATTACTGTTTTAAAAATGTTATTGAAACGTACTTTTGAGAGAAGCAATTCTAACACACCACGGTTTGGAGGCAAAGTCCAAGAGTCATCAGGGAATTTAAATTTTGTTTATTTATTTATTTATTATTCTTTTTTGGCCAGGTCATCAGGGAATTGAAACGCTGAAAACCAATGGATCCAATCATCAGGATGCTGTTTTTTTTTTTTTTTGGGGTCAAATCAACATGATGCTGTTTTTTTTTTATGAGTCAATAATATTTAGTTGATTATGTGAAAACAGTAACAAATTGCATTATTTATAAATCATATGTAGTATTTATTTATTAAAATTGCACAAATGCAATGGGCCCGTACTATTCTTCCAAATTCTGCGCTATTGATTGTGTGCGGTGAGGAACCGGAGCGTCTTCTCAGAAGTGAAATGCTGTCCATTCAAGTGATCAAAATCTATAGTAAATATATATTACATCGCTTTTAAAAAATGCATGCCAGCAGTTTGTTTTTAAATTTTCAGTGTCATTTTTTAAAAAAAAATACATTTTGAAAGATTATGCCTAAAGCTAAAAATAGAATAGGCCAAACCAGAGTTTAACTAAATAAGTCCAGCTTAATTATCTAAATAGGTCTAATTACAATTTCAAGCTAAACTTTTTTATTAAATGGGGCCAGATTTTATGCCTCTACAAACCTATTTACTTATTTTAATATTTTAATAAAATTTAATTAAATTAAATTATGATACATTAATATATATTTACTTATATTTACATAAGGAAAGAAATAATATTTATTTATATAAATATTATATAAAAGTATAAACAAAGTAAGCTTAACAAACCTACATGTCAACTTTTAACTAAATAGACCTGATCTATTTACCTAAATATGCTTGGTTCCAAGCCTAGGTGTAGCTTTTTTCTTAAATAAGTCAAGCCAAGTTAAGCCCTAATCATGCATGACCCACAATTTAAAAAAAAAAAATAGTGGTAAACTAGTTCACTAATCATTCCAATTAAGAGCTTTGGACAAATTGATGCCGTTGATTTATATTACTTTTTCCTTTTATTGAACTTGAAAAAAATATCATTTAAAATTAAAAAATAATAATAGTTTGTCACAATTAAGGATATTCAACCTTGTACCTGTTCCAATTATATTGAGATGTGTCTTTTCAAGCTCCAAAAAATTGGAATGAGATTTTACAAAATGAGATGAAAAAAGAGTTTAAGATGAGACGAGATATGAAATTGCCCTTGAAACGTCACATCTTGTCCTAAATATTATATATATATATTATTTTTATTTTAAAAATATATATTAAATATATTAATAATATGAATATAATTCATAGTTATATTAACTATAATTTTAATATGTGTAATTTATGTTTAAAACTAAAAAGCTTTTTATATTGATAATTTTAATGACACATAGAAAGTAACACATGTTAACCTCTTTCTTTACAATATATTAATTAAATTAATATAATTTATTCTTATACCTATCCATTTATAATTCATAGTTATATTAACTATAATTTTAATATGTGTAATTTATATTTAAAACTAAAAAGCTTGTTATATTGATAATTTTAATGATACATAGAAAGTAATACATGTTAACCTCTTTCTTTACAATATATTAATTAAATTAATATAATTTATTCTTATATCTATGCATTTATAATTTATATTTATATAGTATTTTTTGCTTTATTTTTAAAAGAGTCATGCGCTTGACATATTTTAACTAAATAAGAAAAAAATACTTGCAATTGCTATTATAACGTGTTATATCTTATGTAAACTTAATTTTAAGTTGTACACTTGTAGTTCTAATTGATGCAATTCAATAATTGATTTTAAGTTATTGTAACTTATGTGCTCATATTGTTTTGGTTTTAAAATTAATAAGTTATGTGATTTAAAATTTTAATGAATGTTTTTATTTAGGCCTTTCTTTCATGTTGTTCACTTTATTGGGATGACGGGACGTCC